GAGAGAGAGAGAGAGAGAGAGAGAGAGAGAGAGAGAGAGAGAGAGAGAGAGAGAGAGAACAAACAAATATAACTACTGCTGCATATAAAACATCTTAACTCAGTTAGTTAGTTACCACAGGATTAAGTCAATAAAATGCAAAATACAAATGTCAATTCCAATAGTTATTCGAAGAGAAAAAAAAGCATGAAAAATGAATGTCGATCAAACGTACGATTCTTGAGTTGTGGTGACGCTGAAATAGAGATTGCCATTGTTGCAGCGCCTTCGCATTTAATTTATAAAATCTCCTCTATTTATAAAATTTTCTTTCGAATTTTTTTTTCACAAATTTCGTTCGTTTTCATAAGATTACAACCAATTGAACTTGAAATTAATGCGCAAAATTAACTAATTGAGATATTAAAATGAAAATAAACATGAGATAAACCTGTTTTATATTAGTCAAAAAATGAGAGTATTTTTATTCCTTTATTCGTGGTTGAAAGTTTCGACAGAGAAATTTTATTTAAAAAAAAATTCATTTGAAATTCGTATAAATTCAATCATACAACGTTTTACAAGTTTTTTTGTTCGAATTTTATTTCTTTTTTTTTTGTTTTTAAAAGATAGAGAGCAAAAGTCATTATATTGGCTCTTAAAATTCATAAAAAACAGTCATTTGCTTTGATATGTGAAATTCTTCACTCACCAAATTCATATGAATTCGCGGCATTTTTTGTCAGTGTTTTGAAATATGGTTCAATGCTAAATAATTTTCTAATACACATTCTGTCTGGCATTAGTATATGCAACTATATGGTTCTCAATCGATTTTTTGTTCTGTTTGTACAGTGTTACGCGTTAAGTTCCAGTTGGCCGTCGATGTGGCCAATTCTACTGTCAAACACTCAGCGTTTCCATGGTCATAATGATGCCAGCGTGGTAGCCGAAGATCAATTTTAAACAATGCAAACGAATTGTTTCGGACAAAAACCCCATTCACCATGGATTGTAACATACACAGACAGTAATTTTGGACAACCCTTAGCGGTTTTTTAGACAATATACCAATCCATCCATATTTTCGGACAACTTCACTCATATTGTCTCATTTTTTGGCCAACCCTACTATTGTATATACTATTGTACATTTGACACTTGGACAAGTTCACACATATTGTCCTGTTTTGTGGCCAACTTCATACTAATACTATAATGGCATGTTATTACAGTATTAGTATGAAGTTGGCCACAAAACCGGACAATATGTGTGAACTTGTCCAAAAATATGGATGGATTGCTATATTGTCCGAAAAATAGACACCTATTGGAAATAAATTGTATCTGTGTAGAGTTTATTACGCCCGAATGTAAAGCGAATACAACTGTGATTTCCTTTTCGATGAACGAATGTTGTGTTGTATTTACAAAATAGTGTCCTTTCAACAGACAGGATTTTTACCGTTTATGGCAAAATATAAGTAAATGAAGAATTTTTTTCTGGTTTTTATGGAAAACTGACAAATATCCCATTTTTGTTTTTAGCTTAAATGAAGATATTTTCAACAGTCTTTTACATTGTAACATTTTTTCATTAACGACTTGCAACTGCAACTTCACTTGCATGCATGCATATAATGAGGAAAATGACAGCTGTTTTTGACGTTTCGTAATTACTTTCTTATGTATATTTTTACTTGAAGTCGTTTTTTTTTTGTTCATACTCAGAGGACACTTCGAATCATTAACAGACAATTATTTACAAAAAAATATTCGGTTTTATTACATCGGTCTAGTGATAATCTAAAATTTTGTTTATAAAACAATCATCATTTGAATTTCGGTCAGAATGAATGTCTTGAGAGGGATAAATAGTATGGGATTCATGGAATTACTATGATAAGTGTCCTAAGTGTAATAAGCCCAAAGTTTGTGAAGCAAATTTAAAGCGGTTAAGAAATCTGATATTGGGTGGCACCGTAGGATGTGGTGCATTGGGTGTGGCAGCACTACCGTTGCTTGGTTTTGGTGCTGGTGGCATTGCAGCGGGTTCATTTGCGGCCTCTTGGCAGTCGTCTATTGGTGCTGTAGCAGCTGGAAGTCTATTTGCAACGCTACAATCTTTGGGAGCAACTGGTCTCGGTGTATTTTTATTCGGAGCTACTGGCACAGCATTGGGAGTGCTCGCTTCAGTAGCAACTAGACTGGGCTGGTGTGCATGTGCATGTGAAATGCCATTAGGTGAAACGTTAAATAATTTCATACAAAAGGTTGGAAAAGCGATTAAGCAAATAGTATGGGATTCTTGGAATCACTATAACAAGTGCCCGAACTGTAATAAGCCCGCAATTTGTGAATCGAATTTAAAACGGTTGGGAAATCTAATAATCAGTGTCACAGTAACATGTGACGCTAAATCGAATTCATTTGAAACCGCTTGGCAGTCGGCCATTGGAAAAGTAGCAGATGGACGTCTATTCACAACGCTACAATCTTTGGGAGCAGATGGTCTCGATATGCTTTTCTTCAACAGTGCAGGTGCAGCATTGGATGTGCTTGGATCAGTAGCAACTAATTTGGGCTGGTGTTCGTGTAATGCTGATAATGAACAACCAGATAAATCACTTTTATCAAATGAATTGAACGCTGATGAAGCCTCAAACGCCAACAAAACCAGTTCCGATGAAAACCAAGGTGAACGGGTCGTTGAATGTAGGGATGAATTTGAAACAATCGAAAAAATTTCAAATTGTCTAAAATGTAGTAAACCAGCGGTCTGTGCGTCAAACATGGAGGAAATAAGAGATAAAATATTAAAAAATAAATCTGCGATGATGAAACTATTTAATATGCTGGAATCCACAGAAGCAAGAGACAAAGGCTATATACTTTTGACCGGTGATGAAGATCCTGCCATCCGCGTTCTAACATCGCTCGCCAGTTCCATGGATTGGTGTATTTGCGCACTGGTTATAGAAATAGAGAAAATATTGGTAACACTGGCAAAGATAAACTCAGACGCAAAAAAAAAAACCATAGAAAAATCTAAATAATGAAAAATCTCAAGACTTGTTGACCTCAGGATATGCAGTATAGCCTAAGCTATTTGAGTTATTCTTCGAATAATTATTCCAAATTCGAATTATATAGATTTAATTTTTGTGTTTAGGCGTCATTTGGTGGAAATTTTTGTTGTTCAGAATTGTAATTTACAAGAATTTAACCATTCCAATAGAACTTATTTGGTTTGTTCATTTCTTTTGTTTTCCTTTCTTTTGGTATATTGGTCACATTCAAATATTTTTTTCGTATTTCTTCAGCTTTGTACCTCGATAGTTGAGTAATGACGATCGTGTATTTACTTCCTTATACAAAAACATATCATGCGATTTTTAATTTAAAAAAAAAGAGTCGATTTTAAATCAAAATAAAGAACTTCATTTTACCCAAATCATGAATATTTTGTTACACATATCATCATCCAAGATTTATCGTGCTCACAGTCTGGGATGATTTTAAAATGACCTCATCCAAAGCACTTGCTGAACTATTTTTTACAATCGATAAGATTGCATTCGCAAATAGCTTTCAACAAACCGATGGACAGAGAAAGAGTAGGTCATGTTCAAACCCCCAAATTTTGAATTTATAATCCCAGGATAATTTTGATTTTGCTACATAGACAGAACTAGTATGGCGATCCAACTCAAGAAGGTATCTAAAGAATACGTTTTTTTTTCAAACTCAAGAAAAACACCAATCTTGGAACTTTACCGAAGAAATACTTTCTGGATTCCCTTGAATTAAAACACACAACGTTCAGGAAGATTTTTTTTGTTTTATTTTATTTCATCTTTTTTTGTTGTTGTCGAAAGATAGAGAGGTAAAGTTATTATATGGACTTGTATGATGCAAAAAAATCGAATTTGCTTTTGCCTTTAATAGTGACAAATAACTTAGAAAATGAAACAAATCCAAAGAAAAAAACGTGAATTCGAAGCATTTTTGTTTAGCGTTTTGAATATATATTTGGTTGAATGCTCAATACTTTTCGAATACAAAATGTTTGTTTGTCTCTCGCGTTTATATAGGTTTTTTTTGTTTGTTTTTTTTTTCATTTACATATATGGTTCTCAATCGTTTTTTTATGTTTGTACTATTCATAGGATAATAAGCTTAAAATTTGTTATAGCAATACGAAGAGAAGAAAATAAAATGACAGTATACATAATTTTTATGTAGAAAATAAAACGAAACACGAACGTGTGTATGTGTGTGTGTGTGTGTGGTCACAAATGTGTTTTCGATTCGCGAACATTAAGTCAAAAAAGTCGAGTTTTTGAAGAAGTGTGAGAGAACTGGATGCAACACTATTGATTAGTTGTACATAAACGAGATATTTACAATGAATTTTTCGTATCGATCGGCAAATTGACTTTGTACCATGCGATCGATGCTGCGCGTCAAATCCCAGTTGGCCGTTAATGTGGCCAATTCTTTTGACAAACGTTCAGCATTCCTGTGGTCTGGTATCGATTGCAGGAGATTTTGTACAATGGCTCCATAATGATCGTGATAGCAGAAGATCAATGCAAACAGAGCGTTTGCACATTCGGTTTTGTTGTCGGTGCCCACCTCTTGGTTGATAATCATTTCCAATACCATTCGCATGAATGGCATCAGCGTACTGTACAGGTATGACTGTGGTGAATTTTGATCAAAACGGACGGTATCGGCAATTATGTGCAAAAATTCAAAACAAACCGATTGCACTTCCAAGCCAAACGAACGCAAACCCAACTCAACCGAGCGTAGCATTGAGTTCAGTAGTTCGGGTTGTAGCGTGCATACTTTTTGTGATTTCGTTTCAACGAAGAATGTGATCGTTTTGTAGTATTTACAGCACAGTGTCGGATGTTTGAGCATATCAAGCGTAATTAATGGCATTATGTATTGCAATCCAAGGACACACACTTCGGTTGCTTTCTCTTTGCTGAGCGTTTGTTCTTCTTCGTCTTCATTTTCCACGTCAAAGTAGTTTTTCGAGAGCAATGCATTGAGCAAATTCAACAGCAACATTAAATCTTCCATGCTTTCATCTTCGGCAGTCACTTCCGATGTGATACGATCTGAATGGTGGGATAATCAATAACAGTTAGATAAACGATTCAAAATTGGCGAATTGAATAGAATATAATGGACCAAAATTCAATACTTACTGTTGTGCTTCACGTAGTTCCGTATGCATGCCATACAAATTTCGTACACCTTGTGCGATTGTAAAAACGATAGATTCTGAACGACACTGTACAAGACTTGGAATATTTCAACAACAACATAATTATAGTTATGGAAGAGATCTAACAGTTCAGCCAAATGGTATAGAATCGGTTCGAAGATTCCGTAAACGATTTGTGCACATGATGCACTCGCACCATTGTTTGCCGCCCGTATATTCTCGAGTAGGGCGACCACATTCATGGAAATTTGCGTTTTGCCCATTTGATGATTGCTGTCCATTGCCTGTTGCCATTCAAGTTTGTTGAAACTACGGGTGAAGAAATGTGAATAAGACGTGAGCAACTTCGAAAAACTCATATGAAATCGGCATTATTGACTTACTTCTCTGTGATTGGCACTAGAATTTCACCCAAATATTGTTTTTGCATTTCCTTTTCGGTGACACATGCAGCGGTCATAACAAGTCCTTTGATCAATTCGGCATTTTGCATTGGAAGATTTTTCAGCTGAACGATTTGTTTAAATGGTTCCGAATTAAAAACGGCTGGACATCTGTAACATGGCCAAAATATATATGAGTCAATTGATTTTCGCCCTCAATTCGAGCATACGATTAAATTTCCATTCAATTCTACGTTGCAATCAAACTTACTTGTGCTTCCGTTTGACCAGCGATACAAACAAACCAACGGAATCTTTGACAATGGTAGCTTCAGTGCCAAAGTTTTGAACGTTGACACAAATTTTGTTGAGAATAAAATTGAGTGTCCAATTGCCGCCGGGTGTGTCTAACCCGAATGCCGTTTGAAGTGTTTCGCTGAGATTCGTCGGATAATACTCGGCTAGCATGAAGAGATACGCTTCGGACCATTGATTCAAAAACCACATAATATCGCTGCTGACCTCGGGACTGAGGAAATCTTTCATTTTATATTCGATGGCATTGTTTTCAATGTCACACAACCGGAACACAGCCGTTATTAATCGAATCAGCGGATCGCATACATTTTCCGCATTCGGAGTTTGTGTAATGCATTGATTTGGAGCGGCCAACACCTTCAATGTGGTGGTTATATCCATGGTACCATTTGCCAATTGCTCAATGCTATACTGCATAATTTCGGACGGAATCATCGGTTGTTCACCCGAACTTTCCATCGCAACCACATGGCCACAGATCAATAACAGCCAATGAATATCTTCGAATAGGATTTCCATTGCCTTTGTAATGGACATATTCAATTGATTACCATTCGTGTACATTGCTTGGAATTGAGCTTGAAGCTGTCGCGTTTTCTCCTCCAGCAATTTACTGAGAATGGTGAGCGAATGACCGGGACTCTCTCGTGCCAAATTCCCGATGATAATTAGCTGTTCTTTGTACTTGTCCCGATCGATTTCTTCATCGTCATCGAACGATGAATCGGTACTCGTTCGCAAACCCTCCGGTGCACTTAAATGACACTGCACGTATTTGTTGAAGATTTGCAGCGAATACTCGAGAATCACTTCTCGCGGGAAATGCTGAGAAAGATTTGTAAAAATATTAATTAGTGGCGTGAGTAGTTGAAGTAGCTGCTACATTTGTTCTGAAATCGATAAAAATGTATTGAGTATTGAAATTTGCTTGAAATTCACCTCTTTTCCTTGCAAAATGAGCAACCATGCCTCGAGAATCTTTTCCAATGCCTCGTTGTATGTTGAATCCTCCGATCCATTCTGGAATTAAAAGTGAAATTGGTTTTATCAGTTTGGCAGTTTCATGGCAATTTACACTGAACACATACATTTTCTTCGCGTATGCTCGCTTCACAAAAGTTGCCAGTCAAATTGAACATATGCTGAAGCATCGAGCTAACTATATTTGGGGGTAGATTTTTGTTTGGCGGGTGATAAAGCAATGCCTTACGGAATATCGTCGCAAAACCGAGTGCTTCAGCGTCTTTGATTTGAACGCTGTAAATGAAAGGGAAAATCACGTTTCATTTCTTTCATATAAATTTTGATCCTGGAGAAATAGTATAACGCAGGAAAAGTTTCTTAATTCGATACGAACCTAAATAGGAATTGAAGGAACTTGGACAGATAATTGGTGATATAGTCAAGTTTAGATTGTGAATCTCTAAAAACGGCACCATTCAACGTGGACAATTGAACGATACAGGTCAAATTTTTGCGCTGAAGTTCGGGAATTTCACGCACTTTCCAATAGACACCGAAAAATAAGTCAATAACTTTTGGATTGAGAATAACTGTTTCCCACTGCACACCCAATCGCAGTGATGGTGTTTGATCAGTTTTCGTGAGACTTTCAAAGAGGCCAATGAGCCGTTTGGGCAGTAACGGTGATACATAGCCCCACATTAAAATCTGTTCTTCAATGTTCAACAGTTCCAGTAGTAAATGTACGTGGCCAGCATTTTCCATGTCAATGACATTCATGAGTTCTTCGATGGCGGCCAAAGCCATTTTAAAAATTGTCACCATATATCGTACTTCAAACGCTTTTTTCGCCTTAAAATGTTCGCTAAACGTCAGGCCCGAATCGTCCGATTTCACGGTGATCAGATATTCCTGCAGAATGGCCGTAATGATGCGACACACCAATAATTTTTGCTCAATTTCACCGACGGCCAACATTTTTTCCATTTCTTTGAGCAAATTGCCCGTCTCAAGGCCAGCATCGGTAACACTGTTTCGCTTAATCATAATGGCAATCACTTGAAGGATTTTCTCCCGTATAAATGGTTGCAAATGACGTTGCAGCACATAATTCAATAAATATTGTCGCAAACCGAGACGATCCTGCTCCTGCAGACCATCCCACTCGATAATCAGTGCACGTTTAATCACATCAGCTGCCTCAAACAGTAACAAATCTACCGTGGATTTTTCGAGAATTTGCTGGCAAACAATGTATGGTGTTTTGGTTTTCCGAAAATTTAAAATAATCTTTTCGGCATTTTGACGCTGTTCCGGGTGAATGTTACATGTTGGATCCTGAAGAAAAATAATTGAAGCAAGAAAAATCGGTTATCATTTATTCCTTCGAACAATTGTGGTGAATTGCAGTGGATTTTGTCATAAAATGATTACCATAAAAATCCGTGCCGCTGCCTCCAATTCAGCTATTTCTGCATCTGTCATTTCGATTTGGCCTTGGGAGTCCTCTGTAAATAGAAAAATTAAATTAATTTTCCAAGAACACAATCCGTCGGAATGTTTATTGTGTTCGACGAAACAATATGTTTCCAAACGAAAATCTGGCATGCAAATGTGCGATTCACTGTCAAACAAAGAAAATGCAATGAAATCCAATGCCATCGTAGCTTACTATTTAATGAACAATTATCAAAATTTTGTTTCATTATTAACGACAATATTTATTTATTTTTTCTCTCTTCATTCAGTCAACAACTTTCTAAAATGTTAATATTAATTTCACCGCCTTTTTTTCTTGTCCCTCTCCTCTTCTTTGCAACGAACTAAAACTAACATTCAATTTGTTTATTTTGCAAAATTGCATTTAGATTTCATGTTAAATAGGATTCTCCATTGAGAGAAGAACGACAAGAAAGTGCTGAAACAGCAATTCACTGTATGTCCGCGCTTATCTGAACAAAATCTGTTAATATTGGTAATGATTCGGAATTGAATTTCCGTCGATCTGATGGTGTGTAAATTAGCCCGAAAAAAAGAACGAACGGAGTGCCACTGAAAACAAAGAGAAACAAATGCATTTTTCGATTTACCTACACAATGACGCTGCAGCTATTTTTGGCAATGCTAAATGTTGTAGGTCAATTCAATTGTCGAATTTATGTATGGAAAAAAAATTGCAACGGAACTTGGCGAAAAATGTGTTACTTTGATTTTTTTTTATGTGCTGCTCGCTCTCGCTCTCATTCACTGTCGCCCATTTTAGTTGAAGTTTATTGGTTTTTATTTTGTGATGGACTTTTCGAGGTTATGTTGCTCTCATTTGGAATCCATAAATACCGTCAGTGGTAAATTCGCAATGCTTACATATGTTTGTGTTACGGTTCAGTGTGTTTGTGTGTTGAGTGTTTGTAATTTAGGCTCATTCACTTTAAACATAAATCGCAACATCAATTGGGTTGCTTTGACAATTGCCACTCTTTGCTATAACCGTGATCGCTCTTTCAAACATCAAACTACTTACTCTTCACCGAATTTGCAATTTCCAACAATGAAATTAGACTCAAAATGAAGAAAAATCGCAAAACTATTTGTTAACAACCGAGTATACACAAATGAAATGGGTAAATTGCGTTGAAATTCGCTGCAAGGCATTGACATTTCAAGCGGTGCAGTCAACAATGTCATTGAATGCATCCATTTTTTTAACGTGCGTGACTGCCACTGGCACTGGTATGTGCGCGTAGCTGTGTATGAGTGTGTTTGTGGAAAATGCTTCTAATAGAACTTGTGTGTGTGTGTGTGTTTGTATTATTGTCCAACCCCGCTATTATATAGAGTCAAAGTAACATGGCCGCGCATTGTTAGGCTTATTTTTTTTGCTCAAATTTTCATTTATTTTTCTTTTTTGTTTGCACAATTTATAATTTTACATTTCGTTTGCAACAAAAATTGTTCATTTAATGAAAATCTTCTGATAAATACTGATCGTGGTGAATAAGCGGCGCGTGAAATCAGTTGATGTGCATTCGACTGAGCAAAATTTACCATCTCCGTGTTTCAATGACTGAATACATCGAATCAAACTAGAATCGGTTCGTGCATAGACAAGAACAAAAAAGAAAATTGTTGTGTGCAGTGTTTTGCGGTAGATCTTTGGGGCGTTCATTTTCATCATTATTGTTTTATTTTTGGTTGGCTAAATGGCCCTGAATACGCCAAAACGCATCAAATTGTTTAATACATTTGTGCAAAGCCCGGGCAGCGATGTCGAATGGCCGGATTCGTTCGACGATGAGGCAAGTGTAAACAAAAGTGCATCGGGTTTGACAAATCGCAGCGACACGGCAAACAGTAGCAATGGTATTACAAATGGGAATGGCTCATTGAGCCCGGCCAGTTCATGTGATTCGCCGGAATTTTCATTGCGTAATAACAGCAACACCAGCAGCAATATCAGCACAAATAGTCACAATACACCAAACAATTTGGCCGACACACGAGAGAATCGACGCGGTCGACCGCGTTCCGAAGCACTGACCACCCTCATGATCGAAGGATCCACATCACCATCGTCAATTAAGTGCAGCTATTGTAATCGGGTATTTCCACGTGAAAAATCGCTTCAGGCTCATCTGCGAACGCACACAGGTCAGTATCGGAATATTTTTTTGTTGTTGTTATTCATTCGTTCTCTCTGTGTGTATTTGTGTGTTTCGATGGCTCTTTCTATGTGCCTGAACCGCTTTATCTACATTTATAAATATGTAAACAACCAATCTCCGGGCATACATTTAGAAAATGGTCCAAAAATAATGAATTCGTGTATAAATTTGGAAGTGAATTGATTTGAATTTGAAATGATCTCCCCGATCGGAAGCGAACCATTTCAGAAATTCTAAAGAAAGTGTTGTTGTTTTGTTTTTCCCTTTTGAAATTGGATTCAATTACATTACGATAAATTTGTGCGACATTTCAATACTAAGCGTGTATGCTGTTGTTTTTTTTTTCTTTCTTCCACGTGATAGGCGAACGTCCCTACCATTGTGATTATCCTGGTTGTACACGAGCATTCACACAGAGCGGCCAGCTGAAGACGCATCAGCGCCTACACACGGGTGAACGGTAAATATATTCATTTGAGAATGAGATCAAAAAGTAACTATCTAATGATGTTGATCTAATGCGTAATAAATGTTGTTATTTCCAGGCCGTTTATGTGTTCAGCACCAAAGTGTCAAATGCGCTTCACACACGCCAATCGCCATTGTCCCGAGCATCCGTACGATCAACTAAAACGCTGTGATGGTTATGTTATTCAAGCCGTGACTGAACAAAATTACGAGGTTATCAAATGGCTGGAAAAGTACCGAATGGAAAAAGAGGATCGTACACCGACCCGTAAAACGCCAAAGCGAACGAAAACATCACATTCCGGCGATGACACAACATCGATGCGCACATCGTCACGTTCCAATGAAAAATCCAATGAGAATTTCAACCATGCCACCGGCGGTAGTGATGAAAACCAGTTTCCAGTCACACCAAATAATCCGTACAAAAGTCGCAAAGGTTTAATGGTTGAATTGGACATGAATGCTGGTCTCGGTGCAAGTCCAATAACCGGTACAAAAATGAAGCCAACACCAAAGGTAATTCGCTGGCACGAACCGTTAAGTCAGGAAGAAGATTCGGCCGATGAATTTGAAAATGCCGCACAGTCAGCGTTCAATCCGAAAAAGCGTTGGTTACGCGAAGCGTGGCAAAATGATTTGGCGCGACCGTTAGAACCGATAACAAATGGTCGAAACACCATCACATCGGATGCGTACAACAACAAATTCAACGATAAACATTCAACACCATACCATATGCTATCGCCAGCGAAACAACCGTTCAGCGTATCGCATCAGCATCAGGATCAACAGCATCGAATCAACAACGATAAAAACCAAATGAATCCAAACCAACTGCGTCCCACAGTTTTGATGGTAGCAAGCAAAGATCGTGCGATGCCACTCGTTAATCACACAAATACCGTTAATTTATCGGCACCGACCAAAAATGCCGACACATCTCGATTACATACAACAACCGCACAACAGCCTACCTCGACAAATTCGTCTATCAATTCACATGTTGTCGCAACACCACCACCACAACCGTTGTCATCGATTTCGTCTTCGAACCCAGTGAGCAGCAATGATTGCTTTGATCTTCAGCACAATCGAAACGGAATCAATGGCATCGACATTCACTTGGATCCAAAGCATGCATCCACACCGATTGCATCATCGTCCGACCCATGCCAAGCTGCCCATGCCGCCAACAGTAGCAGCAATAGCAGCAGCAGCAACGACGGTACAAATCGCAAATGGTTGGGCGCACTCGCACTCATGGAATTAGCCACCGAAGAAACAAACCAAGTGTCATCAACATTGCCTCTAGTTTATGAAAACTCAACCACGAACTGAACCAGTTACATATACATATATATTTTACATTCTTTTCTCACAAAAAATCGATTTACTTCTTTTTATTTGGAAATTTTCATTTTCAATTGAATTTATTTTTCTGATCCCAGGAAACATACACACAAAATTTATCTATTTTTCTACTTTTTTCTCTCAGAATTATTTTTAAGTTTACGAATCACATCGTGACGCTAAATTTCAATTTATCATAATATTATTATTTTTTTTTATAAGATTTCTCTATTTCTACATCTTGAAGTATATTTTTTTTCTCTTTCGTTTTCAAAACTACATAAAAAAACAACAAATTCCATATTTTCCAGTTCATCTCTATCCCTCTCTGGCTAAGTTAAATAATATAGACTTTTATTTTCATAACAATTCTGAATAACACGGAATAAGTGATCATTTAATTTATATAATTTTGTAAGAAAGTTTTTTTTTTTTTAAATGTTGGCCCATAAGAGAAATCAAGAGAAAATCAATCTACAAAATACAGTTAGTATTACATCCAAATAGATTTTGGAGATAATATTTTTTTGATGAAAACATGACTTTTTATTTCTTATGGTGATTCCAATTGTACTCCGGTTTAGAACTTTCATTCTTATTGCTTGAGCATCTATGTTATCGACGCAACTAGAAAATGGTAAGTAGCACGGTATGTGGTTCTGTTCTTATTGGTGAGAGAACGTTGTATACATAGTAAACTGTGTGTGTGTACTAAACGGTTTCGTTTTGCGGTGGAAAGTTGAAAAGAAACCGACTTCGACAAAGTATTTTGGTGTAAATGAAACTACCGTTTTTTTCGATTGGGTTGCATTTGATGGCAAATAGAACAACGAATGATTAGAAAATAATCAGTGCTGAATTGCAAAATCGAAATTCTTTTTCATTTTTCATAGGGATTTTTTTCAATTTCCAATTGAATAATTTCACCAATTCAATGTGTTTCTGAGTAATAAATGATAATTTGATGAAGAAAAATGAAAAATGAATGAAAAAAACAGCTTCGAATAACACAAAAATAAACAATGTTGTGAGTGTTGATTGGTTAGTGATAAAATATATTACTCACGAAAAATATTTTCTCCGACTCAATCAACCGTCTGTCCCCGAGTTCTATTCCCATCTATTACCGAGCATTAGAAAGGTTACCGTCTCGTATTTTTGTCATGGTCTGTTGCTGTCGTTTATAATCAACATATTACAACTATAGCCGGTTGAAAATCAAATAACCAAAAAAACGTTCCGATCAGTTGTAATAATTCGCTTTTATTGTCAAAATTAAAGCTATTACGTCCAAATGTTCAATCGCAACATTTGTTTCATGTGAATATTACCTTATAGCAGAGACTACTATGTATGATGTTAATTTATGACAAGAGCCTGCTTTTTAATGAGACGAGAATTGAATATTATTGTAACATTTCGTGCAAACTCCTACTTTATTTAGCCAATATTTGACGATAAAAAATGGAATAAAAATTTAGTTAGTCAAAAAAACACCTAATTTTCGAGTTAATTCCCGTCTAAATATAGAAGTAAAAATCTGTAATGTCCATTATTTATTGCTATTACATCTGTAATAGGCTTACTTATTACCTATTACTTTTCTTATTACAGTATAGTAATAATAGAGTACTAGAAAAAAATCGAAAAGTTTTATGTAAAAAAATTTGGTTTCTTCTAATACACTTCGGCTGGGTTTCGGTTTCCGGTTTCGTTGGATCATTTTTAGTTGGCAAGGCATTCCGATGTGTCTGCATGATGCCTCATCTCCGATTGATAAATATCGTACGATAATCAATTCATCATTCCCAGTTAATGTACTTTATTTTAGCGATAGAAAGTTGGGTCCGCGCCTGTAACAGCTTATGAAAATTTATAATATTCCAACGAATAAAACCGATTTACCATAAATGCGCCTATTTTTCCGTACCAAAATGATTAAGATATTCATTATTTCTCATGTTATAGGTTCGGATTTCCGATTGATGCGATTTCGTAAGAGTTCATAGAATCTCGAAAAGGAAGAAATTAATTCACAAAAAATATCATAATGGACCAACGATTTGGATGCATATGAATCCATTGAAATTTGATCGCTATGACCCAAAACCGCAAAAAAAAATTGTATAAGACCAAATGAAGAGACCAAAACTAATGAAAAATTGAATTATTGCATCAAAATATACCTACATATTCGATAGAAGAAGAAGAAGAAGAAGAAGAAGAAATACTATGCAGTTTTCATCAACTGTCCATAACCCAAACACCTACAGCACATCTATATGGGCCGTGTATAAAAGATTTGATGAAAGAAAAAGTATTGGAAAAAAGTGAAAATGGAAGCCCGATCGATAGCAGGTTAGAGAGCTTTTTTTTTCGAAAAGGGCCCATCAATTTATTGATTTTCGTTTTCAGTTTCAGACAAGACTAATTATGCATTTTTTAAATGTAATTTCCATAAAAAATAGCGCTCTCAGACTGAGACTCGTGCGCGAGCATCGTTTTTAGCCGGCAAAACCATTCTCCGCTGAACCGCATGCGCGCGTGTGTGCACACACATATAGACACGCACACAAAATGTATTCGAAACTGAATAAATTTGGCTAATTATGAGTTTATTATTGTTTGATGGAATGTATTTTTTAAAAAAACTTATAACATTTCCTCGTTACCGAAATTTCATTCACAAATGATCGCGGCTAAGCGTCTAAATTATGCGTAAAATTTGCTCCACGCATAATCTCTATCGTAAAAAAAATTCGTAATCCGCATGCCATAAATATCTATCGATGATAAAATCAATAATAACAATGATGATGTTGTAACATTATGTTATATACGTTTTGTTCCGAGTCTTTTTGAATGAATTTTTTCGCGTTGGCAACCGAGTATTTATCTCACAAAATGCTTGTTTGGGATAGCGAGAATCGAAGATACAACGAAATATGTTTTTTTCGTGTGTGTGTGCGTTCATTTTCACTTTCAACGCATATTTAATCAAACGATTTACAATATAAGCATATTGAGACGCATGCGAATTCAAATGTTCACTTTATATCAAACCGACTTTTACATCAAATAGTCAAATTATGAAGATGTGTTTTTCCCCCGCTTTGGCGATCGGCTAAATCAATTATTTATAATAATGTCACACACCATCTGAAAAAACGCTGGCCATTTAATTTTTTCTTCCGCAGTGTTGAACTTTTTTTTTCGGGAAAGAGTTATGAGAGATGAGAGTCACAATGCGCGGTGGTTTTGCATTTTTATGCTGATTTTCGTTTCATTGTTTGCTTTGGTGGGCTTTTTTTGAAAAAATAGTATAAATGCATTGTGGAGCTTCGAATCAAACATCAGTCACTTGAAATCTCTCAATTTGAGTAATTCACAGTTCCCAAAAAAAAAACTTTTTCTCAAAAAACCATACAAAATGAAGGTATGATATTTTTTTGTGTTTTGTATCAAATTTTGTGTGAATGCTCTTGAAGATGGAAAACTTTAAAGTGGAAAACAAGAACAAAAAAATATAAAACCAAACATTCCTAAATTGATTTGAAATTGTGTTTAGTGTTTTATCGAATGATATTTATTCCTCCGTGACAAGTGCTTCAATTTTATGATTGATAACTAACGGCAATTTAATTTTCACAAAGGTGTTCGTTGTTCTTGCTCTCTGCGTTTGCGCCGCACAAGCCACCTTCTTCAGTTCGGGTGGAAGCTCAAGTGGATCATCATCCTCATCATCATCGTCATCATCCCCACAAGTAGTGAAAATCATCAACGTTGATGGCGGTTCAGTATCAAGCGGTGGATGGTCTTCGGGTGGTGCATCAGCAGCTCCATCTAAAATCATCAAGGTACACAATATTTTACATGCCATTTTTATTTCTACGACTTTTCGTTTTGCTTCAAAAATCACAGTGTTTACGAGGAGAGACATTTTACTTTCCATTCAAAAGAGTCATAAAGAAGCATTCGATTGGAACAAAAGAAATATTTTTCATACATATTTTTCTGGATAAACTTTCGACAAACAATGATACAAATTATCTGTTCTGGTGTTTTTGTAGATCATCAATGGAGGTTCAGCTTCAGGCGGTCACGGTTCAGCTTCAGGCGGTCACGGTTCATACGCTGCTGCCCCAGCTCCAGTTGTGAATATCATCAGGGTTAGCGGTGTTTCAAGCGGTGGTTCTTCAAGCGGTGGATGGTCGTCGGGTGGTGGCGCCTCTGCTGCCCCAACCAAAATCATCAAGGTATGTTAACCATTTTACTCATTTTGATCCGTCACAAACCATTTTTCATCCAAAATTCGTTTCATTCATTTCAACTAATGGTTTTTTCTCTTCATTTGCAGATCATCGATGGTGGCTCAGTTTCAGGCGGTTCATACGGTGGTTCACATGGTGGTTCAAGCGGTGGCTGGGCCGCTGCTGCTCCAGCCTCAGCCCCACAAGTCATTAAGGTATCATAATACTTTCATTTATTTTCAATGAAAAGCCATCAAGAGTTTTATCTTTCTTTTGAGAGAGAAAGATAGGACCAGCCAAGTTATCCCAAAATTTCAGATTCAATGAAAAATACATACGTTTTTATTCCTTGAGAATAAAGTACTTGGCCAAAGACAATATCGTATAGTGAAAAGTGTTTAGATAGAAGATTTTGACTGATGATGTTTTTTCTATGTTCATAGGTCATCAAAGTTGGCTCAGCTTCAGGCGGTTCATACGGTGGTTCACATGGTGGTTCAAGCGGTGGCTGGGCCGCTGCTGCTCCAGCTCCAGCCCCACAAGTCATTAAGGTATCATAATACTTGCATTCATTTTAATGAAAAGCCATCAAGAGTTTTATCTTTCGTTTGAGAGAGAAATATTGGACCAGCCGAATTACCCCAAAATTTCAGATTCAATGAAAATGCATACGTTTTTATTCTTTGAGAATGAAGTACTTGGCCAAAGACAATATCGTATAGTGAAAAGTGTTTAGATAGAAGATTTTGACTGATGATTTTTTGTCCATGTTCATAGGTCATCAACGTTGGCTCAGCTTCAGGCGGTTCACACGGTTCACACGGTGGTTCATACAGTGCTCCAGCTCCAGCCCCACAAGTCATCAAGGTATCATAATACTTTCATTTATTTTCAATGAAAAGCCATCAAGAGTTTTATCTTTCGTTTGAGAGAGAAAGATAGGACCAGCCAAATTACCCCAAAATTTCAGATTCAATGAAAATGCATACGTTTTTATTCCTTGAGAATAAAGTACTTGGCCAAAGACAATATCGTATAGTGAAAAGTGTTCAGATAGAAGATTTTGACTGATGATATTTTGTCTATGTTCATAGGTCATCAAAGTTGGCTCAGCTTCAGGCGGTTCAT